TATATATATATATATATATATATATATATATATATACTTGAGTGATATGTTATTAGTTTGTATGATTAAGAAATTGCTTTCCTCTTTAAACTTCAGACTCTAATAGATGCAACCCTTTGTTTGCACAGATAATGCAGTAAACTCTGGCAGCCATTAAATGACCACAACACTGGCTCCCTAACAACTATAGGGTTTTTTTTTAAATCTGCACCATCTGAGGTCAAAAGAAAAAAATACATTTACCTCTGAAGTAAAACCAAATAATGGTTCTAATGAGCAAATACTGTGATTCTAATTAGGTCCATTTTGTACCCTGACCTAGATAAGCAGAGTGCAGAGCAGTGAGAACAAAATCCTGGAAGCTTAGAACTCAAGACAAAACAAAGAAGCTTCTATTACCTGTCTGTCTTTTCAGACTGTCTTTTACTATGATCATCCACAAATAACCTCAATCACTGGTTTGAAAAGTAAGAGACGTTTTTGAACATTTTACCTGAAGGCAGACTTTCAGAGGGAAAAAAAGGGAGAAGTATTTTTAGCTCTTAACTGTTCACTTAAAAATAAAACTGATGTTTGACTGTTGGTTCCTGTTGTTTCAAACAACAAATAAAAGCTGCTGGTTATTTTAAAATTATAACGTGATTGCTTCTTCCTACATTCATCAGCAAATTGTTTTTTTTCTTTTTTTCTTTCTGTGCCTTTTATTTAATTTAAAAACAATCTACCTTACGTGTGTCAGTTACCGTCTGTGCTGAAATGTTTCATTCACTTATATTCAATTAAGATGAAAAAATAACAATAAAGAACATGTTACCGAGAGAAATGTTTTTGTTATTGTTAGGTTTTATTATTTATACATCATGTGCACTGTTAGTTTGTTCAGCAGATTGTTGAAAAGTGAAATGTAAAAAAATGCTGGAGACAAGAAAATTTGGGGCATAATGCATAAAAGTATGAAAATGCAGATTAGGTATATTGTATTAAAAGGTGCAAAAGAATTCTGGAAATTATCTGAACTTCTTATTAAACCTGTTACAAATAAATAAATAAAATCCATCTCAATAAAAATAAAATGACCCAGATTTTTCTATTAATCGTACTTCCTATCACTTCTGTGGTCTCAAAATGATTCAACCCCCTGAACAGGATTCCTCATCAGAGTGCATATTTGCAAATCAGATGTGGTCTAAAGGTACATTCACACCGAATGAGAAACCTTCGCCCTGAAATTCACCCGCCTCAAATGGATGATGCTTGTCAAAACCCAAACAAAAATTTAAAAATTGTAACAATTGGCTGAAGCTGTTCTCTATAAAAACCCCAAAGTAAAAAGGTTTCTACATTTTAATGTGTTAAACAGAATAAATAATGTATTTCTGTAAAACTCAGGTGGGCTGCAACTAAACATCAGGCCATGAAAAGGATTGTGGGAAACCGTATAGCTGCTATGCGTCCGATAGGAGCATTGGGAGGTCCCTATGCTAAATGAGCTATACATAAGAAGCATCCCATTTCTTTTTTCCACTACTTTCCTTAATGCCAGCACTATTCAGATAGGACTTATCATGGTTATCGCTTTTGCACCTTTGCTTTGGTTTAAAAGTCCCTAACAGATTTGCACAATCCAGATGGACCCCAGACCTTCACCACGACTTTCTGGCTGCTGCTACTCGGGTTTGAGTTTCTACACTGGGGATCATCATAAATGCAGAAGTGCTCCAGTCCTAAACTACTGATCGGAACATGATTTAATTTTGTCTTAAATAGGTTGGAGAAATTACAGTATCGGTCGGTTGAGCTATTCAAATTGTTGATTTATTTTTAATTGCTAACCACTGACAGTATTGCAGCTTGCAAGTAAATCTCCCTTTACTGAGCGTTAAATAACTTTTTATGTATCTAAATGTGGCTGTAATGACCACTGCGTTAAAGACGAGCAAAACTAGAAGCCCTTCCAGTCCAGCATTCAATTACAGCAGCAAGGTTGATTATGGGAAAACAGCAGGTCATCATATGAAAGAGCCACAAAATGCAAAAAGATTGATGAGGACATACCAGTCTCGCCCCACAGAGTGTCATGACTATCAATTTGCACAGCATGCTCATTTTTCAGCGCCAGCAGGGCTCTCACAACCTGTCAAAAAAGAAACTTAGATTAATGGCGTACTATTGCTGTATAAAATATCAAATAAACCTTTAAGATGATACAGTATGCAAAACTTTCTGCTTCTTTAAAACCATGATTGTGCAGTTGGATTTCTATATTCAAATGCATGCATGTCAGTCAGACCTGTGTGTGTCCCATGCTCGAGGCTGCGATCAAAGCCTGCTGCAGAGCTTTGTTCTTCAGAGAGCAGTCCTGCTGCTGCCCTTCAACACTCCATTCAAGCTCCAACAAGTACTGGATGATCTCGATGTGTCCACGTAACGCGGCGTGGACCAGAGCACACTGGCCGCTCTTATCTACATGATTCACCTGGAAAAAATGAAAGATTTGGGGAATTATTTGATAGCAATAGAAGATATATTTTACATATTATGTAAATCAGGTGCAGCAGACATTTTACATAATGTCATGGCTGGAGATTGAAGTCATGCCAAAACAATTATAGTCTTGAACAAGTATTCATGCATTAGGTAGTTCTTGTATTTTCAGATTTTGTGTTGTTACAATCACACATTTCTATGCATATTATTAAAAACCAACAGAAAGCAACACAGTCAACAGGAAGGGAGATTTTCTAGTTTTTCTTCATACTTCTTCCAATGAAATCTAGCATTGTGCAGATTTATTTATCAAGGAGATCATCCCTTGTTAAACTTTTTGTTGCAGTAAAAGCATAATGTATTTTATGGAATGCAGCTTTCTAAGATCCAGGGACCAAATTGTTTAACTCCTTTTTTTTTTTTAATTAGGGAGCTTAGTCAGGCTGGATGATGAGCAATTTTTCAGTTTTAACCACAGATTGTCAACTTGACTTTAAATAAGCCACTGGATCACAAAAATATGCTTCATCTAAGCTATTCTATTTTAACACGTTACTGGAAAATGAAAATATGAAACCCAAAGAGGCTAAATTGCTTTTTCAATCATTTGTAAATTGTTTGAAAGCTATATATTAGTGTTTCACCTCATGATTATGCTCTACCTGGTGGTCTATCACATGAATCTAAAACAGAAAGTAGAGTTTGTAGCAGTTTACTAAAGATTCTGGTGGTATAAATACTTTTTTAGAGTCACTTCATGTATAACAGCAGGCAGAAATTACATTCTAAGTTATGAAAAACAAGGTCCTCACCTTGGCCCCCCTCTTACAAAGTAGTACAACTAGACCTAGGTGTCCACCAGCGGCTGAGAAGCACAGCGGGCTCATCCCATTTTCTGACACCACATCAACGCTGGCACCAAACTCGAGCAGGAGCGATGCAATCTCATGGTGACCGAGGTGGCACTGGACACAAAGCACTGGCGCATTGTTCAGGACTTCAGTCCGGTAGTTCACGTTTGCCCCTCCGAGCATCAGGAGGCGACTGACCTAAAAAAAGGGGTGAAAATGTATAAAACTTAGACAAACAGAATGGTGAGATCCAGTATAAATCAGCTTCATATGGATTACAGATGAACCCTATAGCTTTCTGTACATCCATATTATAAAGGATCCTCTCTTTCGCTCTATTATTGTAAAATGTATATGCAATAACAAATTCTGATCTCAGTCAATTACTTTGTACCAAAGACCCAGCTTTATTTTTATTTTCTATTAACAATATTCCTAATTTAAATCTAAATAAAGATCTTAATGACAGAAAAAATGTAAGCTTCAGTTAGAAAAATGTTATGTATTAAATCTCTGAGAAAAGACGTCAAATTTTCTCCCCCTTTTCTGAGCAATTTAAATCAAGTATAATCATAGAGATGATTAAATAAGAGAGTCTGATTAAATTTCAAGATGAAAATTTTAACCATTGTGCCCCGAGTATTCCTTGAAAACCATGAATCATTCAGTGATTCATGGGGTTTTTTGAAGGATGGACTTAGGTCAGACACAAGTTAAAGTAGTTGTTTCCCACTTAATGTAATTACTGTATAAAGTGTGTTATTCTCAACCATAAGGACTAAAATAAATGATAAAATAATCTCGTCAAGCAAGATTGCACAACTTAAGGACCCATAAAATGAGATAAAATCCGCCATCGAATCAATTAACACCAACTGTTCTTCACCTAAGGACAGAACAAGGTCGCTCCCCTGTTTCTCTGTGAATGCATCTGCAAGTGCACCCACTGACTCACACCAGACAAGTGATAGAGCCTCACTGACAGCACAACCTTAATAGCGAAGTAAAAAGCAAACCAAAAAAAATAAATAAAAAATCCGGGATCATTCAATTGTACAATAGACAACATTATAATTTGCATGTAATAGCCTTTCCAGCGAAGGCCGATCATTATTTCCCCTGAAAACAACTCATGTAGAGGGTAATACACGGCCAGTTGTCACGATAGCAGTTTAACGAGCTCTGCTACCAGCATTAGTCTAATTAGCGATGGGAAAGGATGATTATGCTCTGCACAGGTTGGCTAATTATTAACAGTGGTGAGAGAGGAAAAAAAAACTGTATAAATATATGTAATTATATTCAGAGTGAAAAGATTTACCTTTGCATGACCCCCCTACTCTGTATTTTTCATAAACTCACCTTTCCCCCACATTTTCTATTTTCCCCACATAGACAACGTACCCTCAGTTTTCAGCTCCTCGCTGTCCTTCTGATGATTTCAAATTTGAACATTCCCAGAATGAAAAAGAAAATCTCAGGCCAATTTTTAGTGTATAATTAAAATATCACAGTGTGTGCCAGGAACGCTGCTAGTGAGACTCAGATTCTTGATGCGATATCATGAACAAGAAGCAAACAACCCAATGAAACATTTTTGTTTTGCTTGGCAAAGTAAAAATAAAAAAATACAGAGGCTTCAATAGTTCTAGCATGTTTAAATTACTGTACATACACAGGAGATGATGAGCCTCTTTACCTTGACATTTGGTGTGTAGAGGTTCCTCAGGGAAGCCAAGGCTGCTGAAAGACCATCAGCACTGCAGCTGATCCACAGGGCTTGAAGCACGCTGGATGGCACGCCTGTTTTCTTACTCAGACCCTGCAGGCAAACCAATACATCACACAGAAATATAAAATAAAAACACACATACAGGGAATTGCAGATGTTTTCACACTCTAGGTCAAATTTTTGCATATTTCCACCACAAACCTTACTTTATCATACCGGGGATTTATGTAGCAGAGAAATACAAAGTATTTCTATTAAAGATTGAAAAGCACTTGTATGTAGTGCAATTTACTTTGAAGATGGCTAGAGCTTTATAAGGTAATCCTTGAATGAGACCTTCAGCAGGGCGGTGACTTAACATGCAGAGCTACAATAGTTTGGTTCAGATCAAAGTAAATCCATGTGTTAAAATGTCCCAGAAAAAGTATTACAGGGACAATTAAGTGGGGTGGAACCGAAATTTCAAGTCCACTTATTGGACCCGTTCTTTTAAACAACTGTGAATATCATGGATTTCTATCCACTTAACAAACACAAGCTGTTTTTGCTGATCTGTCACATGTCATATAATGTGGTAACAAAGTGACCAGACAGGAAAATGTCAAAGTGTTATGACTACAGTTGCAAGTCCCTGTATAAAATAAGATTTCAATGTTGCAGAGATGACTCAGTGGTTTCACCTTGAAGATGTGTGCTTTCAGGATGTGATGTCCCAGCTCCATTGTCTGCTGACGATTCAGTTTCCCCTCTTGGCGGGACAGCATAAAGGCCATGAGGGCGTGGCCAGTCCTAAATTACAAAGCAACAGAGAGATTATTCTGCTGCCCTGACGAGAAGAGGCTCAACCAAAAGCATGAAAGCACTTCTTATTCTGATATCGTCATGGAGAACCTCTGTATTCTGCTTCGGTGTGAATTTGCTGCAAAACCTTTTAATTGATCCATGGAGGGGTGGAATAAAATAAGGAAGAAAGTGCACAAGGTTGTTTTTTTGTTTTTTTTTAGGTGAGCTCTCTGGCACTAATTAATGCAGCACTTCATTAAATGGACACGCATGATTGCAGATAATTTTGAACTGGTTACAACTCCCTCTATTTGAATACAAGCACTGAAAAGTACTGTTCAGTAAGCCTTTGTCTGTTTATGCAAGGCTGTGAGCTTGTGTTTTTTTAATGGAGCTGGAAGGTTTGTGAATGACCAGAATATGAAGCATGGATCTGGTTCATTTCAGCATCATCAGTATGTGTGTACAGGTGAACGAGAGAGGAGGGAGGAAAAAAGGGAACCAGGCCGACATATTTCATCTTATTAGGTGTGCATGGCTGCTGCGAAGAATTTCGAATCAGGAAACTGCAGCAGCTCTGCCTTGCAGTGCAAAAAGAGCCCAGCAGAACATGGGGATATGTGGGATATATTATAAAGACAGGAGGGAGTTTGTTTTAAATAAAAAATGCACATCAGATTTACACATCCACTGTTCAGATCCTGTTTCTTTATTTCTATAACCTGCTACCTCATCTTCTAAATTTTAATACTTCTTCTACAGCAGCTGCATTTTACATTAAAAGAACAATAACCATTTAAAACCTCTACAGACAACATCTTACTGTCTCTCTGTCAGGGGGGTAAGAACTGCTATACATTTCCTCACTTTCAAGAAAGACTAATTCAGCTGGTTATAAATTATCTTCTGTCCTAAATGACCTGCAGACTCATTTCATAAGCACAAAATTGGTGCCAACAATTATTTTTAATACAGCAACATTGTTATACGACCATAATAAATACGAACAGGAGCTGACAGCAGACCTGAGCAGACACCTGTTTTTCTTGTTCTACACTGAAAAGAACTTAATATTCTGAATAATAATCCCTTCACTTTAGCAGGTTTTAAATAAAATTTGTTCTACATATCAAAATAAAGAGTAAAAGTTATTTTTACTGCTATGATACTTCTGTTATCAAGATATTTTTTGCAGCAGAGGTAATTTTTCCTTATGTGTTTTAAAAAAAAAAACTATATTATGATTTTCTTGGTAATTGAAAACCATGGTAAAGTGGTACAAATTAAAATTAAGGCTTAAAAGAGTTTATAGATGCATTTAGTTGGGAAACAAGTCTTTGGATTGAGTAGTGATAGTTTCATTCCCATAGGTCTGACAGTCCAGAGCAGGTTGCAGACTCCTTGCAGCCTGTGTTCTTATCTATCTTATATGTTTTAAAACAAGTAAGAAAGGTGCAGTTGATTAAAACATTTAGTAAGCATATAAGATTCTGTGAGATTTACCTTTTGCTCTGCATTGGTGTACACTGTCCTTCTGCTAAAGTCATATTGAGTGCTGCTTATGCCAAATTAGACTGAAGCACGAGGGATGATATGGATCAAACCAACTCATCGGTACTCAGGGCTGGGACTAAAATTCCATGAAGACTTGCTTACTTCTATTTCATTACCACTTTCTATTCAATAAAAGTCAGATTTTTTTATATATCCATGAGGATTGATCAGATTTCTTGTGGTTAAATTACTAAAAGGGTGAAGAAAAACAAGTTTTATCCATCATCATTAAGAAAAGGAGCCTTGGTGGTTACCCTAAAAAATAACATTTAGTGTATGACACCTCTCAAAAAATTGCTGAATTAAAGTCATTAATATAGTCCTTAGACAAGTTGGTCGTGGTTATTCTCCTACACATTAAGACCAAAAACAAAGCAAACCCCCCCAAAACATTTTTGGACAGAATCTGAGCCCTTGCAGACAAATATATTTCAAATCCCTTTAAGCAGACCACAAAAACATGACTGAGATAAATGACTTCTGCTTACATTTCTCCATTTTTGTCTAATCGATACGGCCCAGTTAGCCTGTAGATAAATGGAGCTCAAGTCTAATTTGGGTGCTTTTGCAATGAACCTTCACAATAAAATCACCAACCTCCAGGTTCATGCAATCAGGTGTTCAGAACATCAGCTAAAAATGATCACTACTGTGATATGAAAGTTAGGCTCCTTGCGATTGCAAAGCACAGGAATATATGATGCTACACTGACTAGCTACTCACTAAGGATGCTGTATCACTTTAAGCTGGAAACTTAAGTTAGTCCTTTAAGCTCACCATGACTGGCAGCTGTTTTCCCCCCAATGGCAACTATAGACAATGGCTTTATTAAATTCCCCCAAAAAAAGAAAATTAAAAACATTCCATTTCACTTTATTTCCAAGTTTGAAGATGTTTCGCTTCACATCCAGGAAGCTTTTTCAATTCAAAATGTCAGGAACAGCATTGATTTCGAGGTTTTATACAGTAGCCCAATTGTATAAAACCTCGAACTCAAAACTATTCCTGACATTTTGAATTGAAAAAGCTTTCTGGATGGGAAGCGAAACATCTTCAAACTTGGAAATAAAGTCCAGTGGATTGTTTTTAATTTTCTTTTTTTTTTGGAATGACCAAGGCCAAGATGACTGAGAACCTTCACCGGCTTTAATAAATATTTTCATTATTAATTTAAAATCCTCAGCTATTACGGCTGCGACTAACTTTTTTCCCCACCATTTAATCGATCAACTGCATTTTTGAATTGCCCTCAAAAGTTTGATCCAAACAGATTTGAAGCAATTTGGGCTTTTGCATAAAGTCTATTCATCAAACATGAAGGAAAAACAAGAAACTGAAGAAGAAAAACCTGTTAAACATCAGCACCTGATGCTTTAGACCACTTCAGCTTTGCAAAAGTTTCCCAACCAGACTTATTAGAGAGCAATAAGATTCTTGATGTACCAGGTTTGCTTTAAAGAGATTAAAGCCAGCCAATGACAACCAGGATAATTTAAAGGTACAGGCACACATAAACCTCTGCAGACAACAGGGAGGAGACTCTTTACACACATAGCAGCACTAAGGAAAACTTTCAGTGCTTTTCTTAAGTTTTTTTTTTTAAGTACATAGATTCAAAATTATGGCAGCAAAAATTGTTTTATTTAGCCAATTGCTGATTAACCTTTTAGATTAATCAGAATAGGAATAACTAAATAAGGATTTAAGGTGAAGTTAGTATCAAATAAATTCTAACATACTGTACAAAGTCTGCTCCCCTAATGCACAACAAATTGAACATGCATTTACAAAATAGTGAACTAAAACGTATGTACTATGATGCCCTTATGGTTTAAGAAACAATAAAGTAAACTAAAAGACATTGGCTGCCTTTTTGACTTGAATATAATGTAAAACCTTTAGAACTTGTGTTTTTCTATTTTCTGTCTGCTCCCTTTCACTATGTGTCTTTACATTGTTTCTTATTCAAAAAGTTTTATAAATGAACCTTCAAAAATGACAAAATACCAGCTTTGATTCAGCTTCTACACGATGATTCAAAGCTCTGCAAACAAACCAATCCTAAACTTTGCTATAAACCTTTTTTTTAAACTTGGTACAAACTAAACTTGCTGAGATTAACAGAGTACCTGAGGCATCTCAAACCCATTTACCTCGCTGAGTCAGACATGAGTCACAATGTGTTTATTGATTAAAGGATTTTGCTTGCTTTTTAAAAAAAAAACATCCCTGCTTGCATACTAAACCACAAATTGTGATTGATGAAAACAACAACAATTAAATAGAAATCATACTGTGAAATAAAGTGCGTTTGCTGTGGTAAAAGTGAAGTTTTAAAACAAAGACTAAAAGGGAACCACATTTTTCCTGATGTTCCTGTTATTCCTTTCATGTTATCAGCCAGTTTGAGTCTGCTGTGGACCGTTTGAAGTCTGTAATCCACAGAAAGAGTACTGTCTAAATACTTTACAAGCTTATCATGCCTATAACAGAGGCCCACATTCCTAAGGAAGAGCTGCTGAGAGCATAACATTTGAGGACTGACCTGGGGTCACAGAGGAAATCTGTGCTCTCTCCATCAGCTCTCCACACCAGCCACTCTCTGAAGGAAGGGTGGCAGAACATGCGCGTTTTGTCTCGCCGTTTGATGAGAAAGCAGGAGAGCAGCTCCATGCGCTGTTGGAAGTCCTCCCACTGCAGCTCCCCTCGGATGTGGCCAGAGTTGATGGCCTGAAACAACTGCTCATCAGTCATGGGGTGCAGAGACGCAAGAGCGACATTCAGGATAGGCAGAGAGCGCTCGAAGGCCGAGTTGGTCATGAACTTCATGTTGCACTGCAGCTGGTAAAGTTCAGCCAGTGACACAGGCACTACTTTGTAGCTGGCACTTTTAATTACAAGGTGGCCCTTCTCAAAGAGATCCAGGGTGAGTTTGAGATACAGGTAGGAACCCTGGCTGCGGGAGATCAGGTGGCTGCTGAGCTTGGTTATAGTGCCGGGATCCGCTTTGCCATTAAGGCTGATGTTGTTCATTATATCCTTGCTGCTATTGATCCTGTACTGGATGTAGCAATTGAGGTCATTGGTGATCTCTTTGTTGTCCGTAAAATCATCCAGTGAGATTTTAGAGAAGGGTAGAAGGCTGGTGATTTCCTGTAATGGATAAGGCAAAAAAAAAGCACCAAAGAATTACACAACAGTAGTGCGCAAATAAAGAGACATCTTGTACGTTTTTACTGAAAATTAGCTTTAAAATAGCCTTTTTTATTTGATCTTTCACACTAAAACATCAGATCAAACTGACCCCTCAGTGGTACGATTATTTTGCAAATCGATGAATCTGTCGATTGTTTTTTTTTTCCATTAACTGATTAGTAATCGGGTAGCCAGGTAGATAGGTAGGTTCCTTAAAGAAGTATTTGGGGAAATCAAACTAGTTCTGGATAGAGTAAATTGACAGACAAAGATTTTTTTACAATTTTCCTATAATTGTTGCTCTAAGTGGGTTGCTCCGTCAGCTAAAGGCACATTTTACAGTCTCTACACTCCAGTTACGATTAATCAATGACTAAATTAGTTGACCATTACTTCAATAATCGATTAATCATAATTGTTTCAACCCTAGAAAGAACTAAAAAAAAAAAAAAAAGAAAACAAACAAAAAATCCTTACAAGTACGACCGCAAGCTACGAGAGCGAGTAGAAGAGTACTGCAGTTCTGTCTTTTGACTACAGGTGGCAGTATTATTGAAAAGCTTGATAACGCCTCTTAAATCTTAAATCTCATGCTATTAAATATTTCGTCCATTCAGTGCTTTACAATTGTGGATACTTGGAAATGGTTGATGATAATGATGTCACAAATACTATGAATCCTGCTGCCCTGTGCTGCAGAAAACCAGCTCTGCACATCAGCCTGAACACGCCCACTAAAAACATCCCAATCCGAAGTGACACCAGTTAGAGCAAAGCATTACGGGAAATCAGAACAGAACAAAACTGCACTTAAATTATACAAATAAATGTATATAACAGTATAACATTCACACACATAAATTCTTTAATCTGAGAGTGCTTTATATCTTTTGCAAAAAAAATAAAGTGCCCCAAATTAAGGTATTTTTTGTGCAACAACCCACGTCACGTTTAGGTATTCTGTATTAATCGTTCAATTGTATCCCAACAACATGTAGTGAAGTTTTCAACTTTAACATGACAAAGAATGAAACGGGTTCATGTATATGAATATGTTTTAGGCACTAAATTATGTGTAGAGTGTATTTGAACAGCAGGGGAGTACGCCCAATACGTTATCAGACCACAACAGACAACTGTTACTGTTGGAAAAGAAGCATTGAGGTTGACAGGACAAGGTAGTGAGAGTATTAGGAGGCAGGGGATGGATGGTAGCTACTAGCAGGTAAGCAGAGGTCTTATCCAGAGTTCACATTTCAATTCATGTCCTGCAGGGGCAATACGCCTTAATCCCCCAATCCTCTGCCTGTCTGAGGCTTGAGAAACATGGCCAGAGTGAGATAACTCTTATTCCTCCTTGTCATAACAAGGCAAACAGGCACATGGGCACGAAGTCATGCACAGGCACAGACTCAATGAACTGACAGGTGAAGCCAAGGCAATGCCTTGCAGATAAACTCCATGTTAGAAAACAACGCAATGGAAATCATGAAAAAAAAAAAACATCCCAGAGGCTACAGAACAACAAACTTAGCGCCTATTCATTCACAGGAACTTTATTTATAGCATAACACAGCCAGATCATAAAAAACATAATCAATTTTTCCACATAGTGGAAAGTAACCATAGCGAGTAAACAGTGCCAGCCTCAGAATTTTCAAATGCTTTGCAAGATGAAATGAAAAAGAGATAATTAATAAATAACCAGACTGCGTTGGCAGCGCAAGCTGATGGACAGCAGTCAATATCTGGCTTCTGCTTGAGCATCAATAACCTCTATTCTGGATGTCAGTCAGCAACCGCATTATTATTCACGACTCAGTCAGCCGTTGCTTGGCTCATCGGGAATTTTGAAGCTTCAGCTGCCGCCACAGTGACCTCAACGTAGCCAGAGAAGAACTTTACAGCTGTTTAACCAAGTATCATCAAGCTGGGAAGCCCAAGTCCAAGACTCCTCTCTTACAGAAATGCAAACTTCAGTTCTTAGTCTCCATCTGCTACTTTTTCTTGGAAATGCTGGCCTTTCAGGACAGGGTGTCTCACATTTGTTAAAGTCTACAGAGCACGTCAGTAAGTGACAGCAGATCAAAGTTAAAGCTTGCATATTAGGAGGTGGAAAGTTTTTCCTGCTCATTCTTGTAAAATATCTTGAGAACAGTCAGACTTCTTGGAAATCCTCTGTTGTCATATATTTTTTAGAGCTCAACCCAGATTCTAAGTTCCATTCGGGTCTCAAAATTACAGAGATCAGCACATCAATATGTCTAACTAAGCTACGCTACAGTAGCCTTGGTTATTTGTTTAAAGCTCAAGAAACATTAATCTCCCTCACAGTCTGATTTCTTCTGATGCTTCTAATATACAGGCTTACTTTTTCATTCTCCCTGTATTTATCTGATCTTCAGTTGAAGGCTAAAAAATTCTGTCCCAGGTGAAGAACCACATCCCCACATCATGACTCTGCCACCACCATACCTCAGCACTAGGATGGGGTGTTCAGGGTGATGTATATTGTTAATTCTCTGACAATTTGAATTTTTACTAAGATCACCCCAGCAACTTTTTTTCACATGTTTACAGTCTGGTAGAAAAAAAAAAAGTGTAAAAATGCAAAAAGGACAAATTACTGCTTTTATTAACCCTCTGTCTGCTGTATTCTTGGTCTACATGAAGCTAATGTTCATTAATGTTCTCAAACAAACTCTTATGCCAATAAAAACAGCTAGATTTTTTTTCCGATTACAAGCTGATTTAATTTAGAATAAGATAACACGTGAAACTCTTACTGCACTTCAGTTATGTGTATAAGGTTAATAAAGATAGTTATATTTCTCCTTTTAGATTCCAACATTAACACATTTATTGTACCTTTAATGTAATTTAAGAAGGAGCAAAAAGCTCCAACCAAGGTTTCCTTTATATTAGAGTCTATTCCTTACCATTAAGTTGACCCGGACAGTCACCACCAGCTTCAGCCAGGGGGGGAACTTAGGAATGATCTTAGTGATGAATGATGCAATGGTGTCTCCATAGTCAGGCTTATGAAACTCTGCTTCATTAAGTCCATCGATCAAAATGAGATGGTCCTCCCCTGAAATTTTCTTCTCTGTAAATATAAAAAAACAACGATGAGACAGTTAGTACAGAAAAGCTGATCAGAGTAGCATCAGTTCAATCAAGCTACCCAGCTATAGGAGCTTTATGATTAAACATTTATCAGTCTCAAAGAGATTTTTTCTTTTGGCAAATAGAATGTTCTTTTTGCTCTATTTTAAGAGCATAAAAAGCACACAAAATTATTATAAATTTATGGAAAATATTTAAAAGTAGACTGAAGTTTTTCACCATTACGAAGGTTGGCCAGTGGTTCTAGGACCCCTCTTCGGAAGGCCGCCATGGGGTCTTGGACGCAGGAGCGCAGGCTGAGCATGCTCTGAAGGTGTGGCTCTCTCAGCAGCAGCTCTCGATAAGCGGTGAGCTGATGGGCTCTGCACAGTAAGGCTGCAATACTGTGTACAAACTCTGGTACCAAGCAAGTGTAGGTGTTATCGGCTTGGCAATAATGATACGCAACAACCTGGAGAAATAAGAGGAGGCAAATTCAGAATTTGTCAAACAACTGAGGGACTTAAGAACTTCTTGGCTTTCTTTTATTTTTTAGATCAGAAGCTTTGCTGAATCCTCTTAATTCATCGAGCTCAACAGAAAATAAATAAAATATGTCAACGTTAACATCAACAAACAGGTTTAATCTCTCAAAATTATTTAAAAGTAGTCCTATCTACCATATAAAATAAAGGACAGAGTTGGGAAGAGAAAAAATAAAGAAATTCAATTTAAAATGTGAACTTGTATTTATTACAGTCCAACCTGAAGGAACTGACAGTCTGCCAGAGACAATAGGAAGAGCAGAAATAGAAATGTTTCTCTACTCTTCCTTTAACTGGTTCTGCCGTTTGATACCCTAACACCCCCTAAAAAAAACGTTCGTGACAAGATCAACAACGAAGCTTATGTCCTGCAGGCTATCCAAAAAAAAAAGAAAAAAACAGGCTGAAAGCAGAAGAAGAGGAAAATTAAATCTGTTGCAGCAGCAATCTTACCAATCAAGGTTCCTGCTACTGGTATTCAGTGGACAGAAGACTAACATATCAGAATTTTAAAAGTCTGGATATTAAACAAATCCGAGACAACACTGTAAAAAAAAAACATATCTTACAGAAATGCTATACATTCATTTTTGGGCAATGTCTTCAGCAGCTTTCTAAATACTGTTTTTATTAAAAACGTTAAGCTCTAAGGGTTGGACTGAGAATGAATATTAAACTTTCTTTTTAAGTCTTGCCACAGATTATAAATTGGATTATGGGCCTATACTTTAACAGGGCCGCCAATGTAGACGGTACAATCCAAATTGTTCCACTGTTCCCATGGCTGTATTTAAGGCTGACTATCCTGTCTTTTTAGTTGTTTTTTTTTTATCAAATGTTTTGCAGCCTCTAAACCTTTTACAACTAGGACTGACCTGTGTTTATACCAGCTTCTCAATCACTGCAGAAAGAAAATCTCCTCAAACCATGATGGTGCCACCTCTGTGTATTTTAGCAGAGTGACTATAGACTTTTAGGTTTTTGTTCTAAAATAAATTTATTTATACACTTTATAATTACGGATTTTTTTGGTGGCCACATAAAATCCTAATGATATATAGTGAAGTTTGTGGTTATAAGGTGACAATATAAACAAGTTTATGTAAACATATATATAGTCATTTTATACTAATTATTAAACTAAAAATGCAAGAAAATAATTTTCTTGATTCCTTTTTAGAAACTAGAAGTTGTGGCCTGAAATATAGACAAGAAGGAACAATATGGTTCGAGAGAGAAGATATATCATAACTGTGCTACCCAAAGAGAACAGTGATGCGGATTTTTATCCATCATTAAATAACTAACCAAAAAAGCATACCTTAGAGAACACTCCCCCCCCCTACAGTAAAGCATTGTAGTAAAAGAAGAAAAATTATGATGTGATCCAATTGAGCAACCTGTGCTTTGATTCAGCAAATAATTCATTTATGTATATGAGTCATGCAGACTGCTGCACCAATAAACAATACAAGACAAGCTGATGCAACACTGCAGTAAACCTGTAGCAGTTAATCTAAAAGCACAACTATAAATTAATGCTTAGAAATAACATCTGCAAGAGTTTTTAGTCACAAAAAATAAAAAAATAAATACATAAAATGATTTAAAGCTTGTGATGCATCATAACATGTAACAGCCTCAGAGCGCAGATATGAAACCGCCTTTAAATCAGTGATTAAAAAGAAGTGGCTGAATTTGACAGACGCTGCTCAGCATTGCATCAGTGTTCACACATCACAGGAACAGAGCCCCAGAGAGAGAGAGCGCCGATTGGAAACACTTTACACATTAATTGGCTCAAGAGATGTTTTTAGGCTTCACAGACGTTTACAGGCTCAGTGCATAAATAGTTAGCAACGTAGTGTGTGAACTTTCCCTACGGCAAGAGAAAGCTGTATCATATCAATGTGTGAGAGACCAAAAGGCCTCTACAACAGAGCATGTTTAGTCCCCAACAAGGCTGTCAATAAGTTAAAAAAACATAGCATTAGACTAATAACAACGCAAGATCAATGACGGAGAAAATAAATCCAATAATATATAAAACCTCACAGTTTGCAATTAGCAGATCTAATCAAATAAGGAGTAACTGTTTAACTTTTGTTATTGGACCAAAGAGAACTGATGGGAGAGCAGGGAAATCTTTCCAACCACATTTAGTTTGATTTTAAATCAGCAACCCTGAAGAAATCACCTGAATGCCCAATTTGTAGATGTGGGTCATAAACAGCAGCTAATAAAATAAAAGTACAAAGGGATAAAAATGCTACAAAGTGAGCAATAAAACGAGTGGTCCACTAGTCTGCAAATGTCTGCCCACAGTTTACTTTTATAGTTTTAGGATAGCAGAAATGCACTAAAATGTCAACTAGTGATCGAGTTTGGTGGATTTCCAGCTTGATGGGCCGTAACAAGGTAGAAAATGGTTGGAAAAAAAACAAAAAAAAAAACAGAACAATTTGGGTCAGCAAATGCTATCAATGAGGGGAAGAAACAAAAAAAAGCTAATGTTAAGATTCAATAAATCAAAAGAAAAAAAGAAAAAAAAAATCTAAAGAAGCTACATGATAGGATATAGTTTTATTACATGTAAACCAACAAGTCTGTGCTTCATTTAGGCTGTGAAAAAATAAACCGAACAAGATTTTCTGCAGATAACAAAACAACTGAACAGTGAACAGCAATGTTTTCCTTTTTGTCTTTTTAAGCTTTAAACTACTGTATTAATAAAAAATGCTGAGTAAGAAAATGTTGGTAACCTTTGGAAATCTCAAAGTTAGGGTACAAGTGTGCAATCTCTAGAGAATATGCACAGAGACTGAGTTTTTTAATTATTAACACCAACTTCTGTGTTTGGTAAAGGCAATTTAAAATGTCAACTCTGTAATAAGTTTTCGCTGTTTCAAAATAACGGCAAGCGGTTTTAGAGCAAATGCTCTCAAACAAACACAGTGAGACGTTGTTTCTGCTCATATACCTGGTCATCAAATTATATTTTGAACGCTATTGCAATATGTTTCTTTGTAATAGTTCTTAAAAAGCTTGGAGTTGGCTAAAATCAGCATCAACAGGTGAAAAAAAAAAGTACATCTGAAAGTGGCGTCAAATTTCGGCTTTAATTTCCAATTAAAGATGTCAAGAAATTTGATTTTTTTTCCATCAAAAGAAATTTACAGACATTTACTTTTGCAAATGAGTATTAAAAAGGCAAAGGCCTAGAAATCTTTTTTTTCGTTCCTTTTTTAAGAAGTGTTTTTTAAACATCTCTTCTATACAGCAGAACAACAAGCTGCACTGACACAGTTAAACCCAGTAAAACCGACTGTATCACACCACCAAACCACAATATGCATGCAGAATAATAGAGAAATTAAAAGCTATTAAGAGGTATTGTTTCACCTTTTGGACTCTCTTGTTTCATTATAAGAAAATGAGAATTTGGAGAAAAGCGTTAACCATACTGCAGAAGCTCTTTGGAAATAAAGATCAGTTTTTTTTTTAAGGTAGTCCTGCATTATGGATCATTGAATTAAGTGTCATCAGAAAGTTTAAGATTTAGCTATGTACCTTTGTAGCCAGACGTTTGACAGCCTCCTCGCGGCGCCGTTGCATCTCAGGAGTTCCTGGACAGCTGTTGCTCAGTGTGTTGGTGGCACTGGATGGAGGGGTGGGCTGTGGGGGCTGGCTGAGGGGAAGTTCTTGTCCCATACATGCTAGCAAAAAAAATGGCTTTTTATTGCATATAGTTTGAGGAAACCAGATAATTGCATAGAATGCATGCCTCAGTTTCCTGATTGCTAAATACCAAATCATTGAGACAAAAACGTTTTGATATCAAGCAATTTCAGTTTTGTTTTTAGTGGGAAATATATCAAGTTTAATTAGACATCTTAAAACGCAGGTAAAACAGATTTAAGGTAGCTTCATTAAAAAAACCTTTTGCAATCGCCAAAAAAAAAAAAAAAAAAGAAAAAGAAAAAAGGAAAAGAAAAACATCTTACTTTTAGGGGAGGCACTGGGACTGTTGGAGGCGATCTGGCGCATACGTCCTCCATGACAGCTCAGCGCTACTAGCCGGGAGATAATGGCCGTCTTCCCATACCCGACGCTACCCACCACCACCACTCCATGCTTTTCATTGTCCTCGCCGGCCTTTAGGAGATCCTCCAGCTGCTGAAAGAGCCAGTCTCGGCCAACAAACACAGAGTCGGTAGTGATGCTGGGTACCTCGAACAGCAGAGGCTTCAGCATGATGTCTGAAGGCTTGTAGGGAGCAAAGCGTCCTATAAGTAAAAGAGAGTGGAGGACAGGGTGGTAACAAATAAATCAGAATTGAATTTAATGGTTTATTTAGATGAGACATAATCAGACAGGGATTGGAATCTGCTGGTATTAGACATGACCGGCACTGATGTGTAAAACTAATAAAATCCTATTTATCTAATAGCACCTGATCTGTTTCTCTGCCTCAGTCAGAATGACGTCCCCCCTGCTCCTAATATAAACCCTTAATGACAGATCATAGAATGCCGATTAGGGCTATTGCAGAAAATAGATAACAGCTAATCAGAGATTATTCCCAAAATATGTTTTAATGCATTACCTATTTATTTTTAAATGTTCTGATACAAAAAAAAATATCTTAAAAATTGCAACAAAAACAGAATGGCGAGTCGTTTTCTTTTTTGAAGAAAAGATAAGCATTACTTAGATGCCTTTGAGAAAGTTCTGTGTTTTTCGGCTGTTGCTTTAAAACAATATACATATTTAAAAAAGAAAACTAGCAAACAACAAGATTTAATTTTGTCTTATGAATCAACAAATTCGTTTTTTAAAATTAAATTTAAAAGAAGATAAACAGTTGAGACTTTAAAATTTCAGTTGATTAGAAAATCCCTGTATTACTGAGCATAAGTTTGTCATTAATAGGACTGTAACTAATATGTCAATTATGTTTCCGATTAATTGATAAATAATTGGATAGAAAAAGGTTGCTTAAAGAAAAAGTGTTAAAAAATTGAAACCAGGGGAAAATACAACTTTTCCACTTGAGGATGTCTAGATAGGAAATGGTGACAGACCAAAAAGTTTTTCATCACAAATGCAAAATGTTTATACATATATATTTATATATTTTTTTTCTTTTTTCAAATTGTGGAATAATGATGCTTTAAGTGGGTTGCTCTGTCAGCTAAAAGCAGGTTGTAGAGTCTCTATACTCCATACAGTATAACGATTAATCGATTACTTAATTATTTCAATAATCGATTAATAACAATGAATCTGATTAACTGTTTCAGTCCTAAATGGATTTTAAAAAACATTAATGTTTGGTGAGAGCTGGGGTGAAAATCGAATGATTCTAGCACTGAAAACATATCAGACAGCAGAGAGTGAAGCTATGCTTTGATACATCCATAAACAGGAAACATTCAGACCCAATTTTTTTATTATTTATACAGACAGCTTTTGATGAAAAAAACTCATCTTCCCTGTGCAACCCAGAATAAACCCTTGGAATCAGTTCTGATGTTAGTTTCCAGTCCAAGTTCAGAAGGCAGAAACCCTCTTTACCATCACCGAGCGCCTTTGATAAATCCCTCTTTTCAGAAGCCTTGTAGTTATAATTGCTCTTGTGACCCTGAAATATTCATTAGCTATGCTGCCGTTAGCTTAAGGTCCTGCAGGTTCTCTCTTATACAACCTGAAAGTGTCTCCCTCATTCCTCAAGTACTTCTTTAAAACTAACAGGCACCACTTACATGCTCAGGTTTTTACCTTTTCTATTCCATCAACGACTTCTCCTGTGGGTATCTCTGAACCTTGTTTTCTTTTGATGTGTTCGGGGTTTTTTTCTTTCAATAAAAAAGACAGGTTTTCACTTTGCAAAGGAATTCTGTCAGTAGCTTGTAAAGTTCAGAGAAATGTTGAATTTCTTTTCTTGTTATTTTTCCACCTCTAACTTTTTTTTTTTTTTTTTTTTTGGGGGGGGGGGTGTCTCTGTTTTTTTTTGGTCTGTGAACAGATTACACGAAATGTAACCTAAAAACAACTGTTTAGCACACTGTGCCTTAAATATAAATTGCATTAAATATACATTTGCATAAAATTAAATCCGACAAATATTAGAAAATATGCAATTTCAATCTTATTTTTAAGCATTAGATTTAAGTCACATTTTCCTTTTATTATTTTCCATTAACACACAGCTCACATAACTCCCTTAGGGTACTGGTCACTAAAATCCAACAATGAACTGGGCATCGGCAGCCGTAAATGACCAACAACTGACTAAATATATCACAGCATGCAGAGCCTCGATGTAAACATACAGCCCCTTAAAATGTATTCATAATTACTAAACTTGTTTACTTTTATCACATTAGAGTTTAAATTCAAATGCATGGAAATTCATTACCCTCATAGGTCAAATAATTAGTAAACAGAGTTCCCTGGTTTACAATCTAACCCCAGTATAAATGAAGCTGATCTTTGAAGGCATTAGAGGTTTGTTAGAACTAACAGCATCACAAAGCTATGGAATTCAGCAGATGGGTCAGAGGTAAAGTTTAGAACCAGGAAAGCCATTGAACATTCAGCTCTCAGTTTCCCACAACTCCTGAAAGGAACTCATACATGCTAAAGAACATGATCTGGTCGGATGCGACCAAAGCTGAACTTTTTGATCAGCAATACAAAAAGCTCACATATGGAGAAGAATATACAGCTAAATGAGGAACACTCTTCAAAACGTCACCCAAAACCACAGCTATTGCTGAGAGGAATTTCAATTTCAGAGCCATGTTCAATTTTAAATGTGCTTTTAGATTTAAAAATCACTTTTAAGAGGAGGATGCTAGTCAGTCTGACTAACCATGAACTGCTGGTCAAAGAATGTGGCCTGTGAATTGGAAGTGTGATAGAAATGTGCGGCTGCAGCAAAAGGTGGTCCTACAAATATTAATCCAAGGAGGTTTTATACAAATTCATTACACATTTCAAATGCTTTCAGTTGAGAGAAATGTAGAAAAAAAAAAATAGTGTGTCAAAAAGTGTGAATGTGAAACTGTGCATGTTTATCTGAGGTATATACACCTGCAGGGCATTCATCAGCCGCTGGTGCAGGCTATGCAAATCTTTCGCCTTGATTATTGTAACGCGCTCCTGACTGGTCTCTCAGCCTGTACGGTAAAAACGTTACAAAAGATTCAGAACGCGGTGTCGTGTCTGCTCTTCAATCAGCCCAAAAAGTCTCACGTCATTCCTCTGTTCATTGAGCGTCACTGGTTACCCTGGCTGCCCGCATCAGATTCAAGTCCCTGATTCTAGCCTACAAAGTGCTTAAGGGTACCACTCCCATCAACTTGAACTCTCTTGCAAAGGCTGGTGTCACGACTCGGTCACTCCAGTCATAAATGGATTGTCATCTAGCAATGCCTACGCCACGCTTAAGACAATCCAGACTGTTTTCATCAGTTGTTCCAAGACTGGAATTACCTACCAAGCACTAAACGAACAGCAGTGTCCCTTTCCATCTTCAGGAAACTCCTCTACTGCTCGTTCTGCACTTCCCTCTCTCTCTTTGCTGTCACCACTGATTTTGACCAGGGATTTTTTTCTCTAGGGAACTTATTGTCATATTGATCCTAAATGTAAAATTCTGTCTACTTCATAAGTTACTTTGGATAAAAGCATCTGCTAAATGCATAAATATAAATAAGGCAATACTGTTACTTAGATGTGACAGCATTCTCAGTTATTATGATGAGATAATCCAGTGTATTTGCAGCATAAATGGATAATGGCACAGTCACCTTTAGTATCCTGCGGGGGCCTCCCTCCTGTGTTGTGCCAAGGCAGGCGAATAGATGTCCGCAGGGGTGTGTTGCGCTGTTCATCGAGGAAGCTCAGGTCCTCTAGCTTCGTGGAGCTGGTTGCTTTAGAGAGAAACACAGGTACAAAAACAGGCAATGAACAAAACCGTGTTGTGCATAGGGAGGACATTACTTTAGAATCCACTATATGCAAGATAGAAAGAGCTAATAGTTAGAGATTTGGTTGCACACCATCTATATCTCTCAGATGATGAGTGATGGTGATGCAAGCCAGTGTACTTTGGCATTTGACATTTCTAGAGGCACCACATGTGAGCACCAGTATGCTGCTGCTGACAGGCTAGCAGTTTGATACCGTATAGCTATGACAGATGTGTTCTGGTTTTCTGTCATTTCCTATCGCTATGGCAATGAGAAGTCTGTTCCTTGAAAGGCGCAGATTACCTTTATTTCCCCTAAGAAAGAAAAAAAAGTTAGGTGGTCGTGACGGCTTAAAAAACTTTTTGTTTGGTTTTTCTACTCCAAGTTCACTCTTGTTGTTCAGAAATTTCTCATCAGCAATGATCGGCTTAGCAACTATTATTGAAGCAATATAATGTCTAACAACATAGGTCATTGGTAGGTCAGTAAACATCTACTTTTATCTTATCTTTTATCATCTACTAAAAAAAAAAAGAAAATACTTTGAAGATAAACCCAATCCTAAGATTTTGATGTTATTTTGAAGACAGAGGAGATGATATCTCACAGTAGGAGATGATTTCAGTCCCAAAAAAAGGCTTCATTTTAACTTCTGGATGAGTCAGTGTGATTGCACAGCAATTTAGCAGAACGTTTTAAGCATGAGATATGCGCTGTTAATATGCAAAAGATGTGCAACAAGGTCTAACCTCACATCATCAAACTCTATTCTTGCTTGGCCTTGCAGAATAGCAGAACCAGTCTCAGTTTTCTTCTTTATCTGCTTCAGAGGGGAGAGACTGTCACCAACACTCATCTGCTCCTCTTCACTTACCCTCTCTCCCACACCGAGTAGCTAACTCACCCTCTGGAATGCCCCACTAATTAAAACACGTCTGCCTGCAACTGTGAACGAAATAAAAGAAGGCCCCCCGAGTTACTTTTATTACAGCAGACTGTGTTCCTGGACAACAACTCTGGGCATGGAGCAATTTTCAGAAGATTAAATAAAGTGGAAACAGAACGAAACAGATATAGAAAAAAATAAGTCTGTGTAAAGCGCTGCATGGTGAAAACGCGCACAAATTTGATTATGAAGTTACAGCTACTCACACCCAGAAAGCACAGGCAGGAGGCACAGCGGGAACTCGGGAAGCCTCCTGCAAAGCATGGAAAAATCCTGGACAACCGTGCAAGCAGAAAAGCTGGGTGCAAAACCCTAGCTAGATTTTTTTTTTCTTTTTTCCAAAATGATAGGATGAGCTCTCCGAGGGTACAGGAGCAGATCCTCTCTCTTATTCCTCACATGCAGGACCGGCTGTCCTCTTCATGGTTTTAAGTCAGCCAAAGCACCCACAACATTAGGCACTTGCTAAATGAATGCAATGCCTACCAAAAGAGTGCCCCTGTCAGCACTTTAACACATGGCTGTAGTACACGACTTCTGTAAACGTGTTATATGAATTTGCATTGTAAACCACTATTGATAAGGAACAGCAGAGGGTGGAGGATGGGTGAATTTGATTAAACAAAAGGGTCAACCAGCAGAACTAGTGAAAACTGAATAATTTATTTACAAAGGTAATATTCTTGAACCATCCCTCACCTATGAGAAAAAAAATCCAAAAAGGTTTCTTCAAGCATACAGATAAAGAAAACAAATCTTAACAATAACCCTCTTCAGTGTGGAAGTCATTGAGGAAAAATACTAAAAGATATTCTTTGTCAGTATTGCATACACATTTGGATTGTAGGTACCCCTCAATTAATGAAAGACAAACCCATAATAGTAAAATTATAAATAAAAATTCTATGAAAAAAATGAATTCAGACATTGCTTTCCAATGATGCTTCAACAAAATGACCTAAAGAAAATACACTTATGAAACAGGCCTGGCTAAAAATTGAATCTATGTGAGGTACATATAGATTCATATTTTGGTGCCCATTCTCTTTAGGTCATCACTGCAATCAAAATATTACTATAACTGTCAATAAAATTTCTGCTCCTCTCAGCAGGTATTTTGGCCCATTCCTCATGAGCAAGCCTCTTAGGTTTGAAGGGAGCCCTTTCCAGTTGACACGTTTCAGCTCGTTCCAAATATCCTCCATAGGATTTTGGTCAGGGCTCTTAGAAGGCCACTTCAGAAAAGTCCAATGTTTTCCTTTTGTCCACTGTTTTCTGTGCTTTTAGCTGTGTGTTTTCATTATTATTCTCTTGCAGACCAAAGACCTGTAACTAAGACCAAGCTTTCTGATCCTCAGCAAACATTTCTATCAAGAATCTCTTGAAAGTCTTGTGATTTGATTGTCCTCTGCAGAGATTCAAGACACCCTGTGCTAGATTAGACAAAGCTGCCACAGAGCATAACAAAGCCTCCTCCATTTTTCACAATATGGATAGTGTTCTATTCTTTATGGGCTTTATTTTTCCATCTGTTAACATGGAGCAGATGTTCCTTGATAAAAAAAAGTTCCATTTATGTCTCATCTGTCCATAGGACGATGTCCTAAAAGCTTTGAGGCATATCAGCATGTAGATTGGCAAATTCAGTCTGGCTTTTTAATGATTTGTTTTTATCAATGGTGTCAGTCTAAGTAGTCTCCCATAAAGTCCACTTTTGGCTCAAACAAAAAGGGATACACTTGTCACTTGTCAGTGTGTACACTGACACTGATGTTCCTTGATCTTCAGGTTCACCTTTAACCTCTTTAGAAGTTTTCTGGGATGTTTTATACCATTTGCATTATCCGTCTCTTTTATTTTAATCAATTTTCTTCCTGTGGCCCATGTTCAGGGAGGTTGGCTACAGTCCCATAGATCCTACATTTCTGAATCAAGCTGCTCGGAGATGGTCATATAGCCTTTAAGTGGGTCACATTATTTTCAGTCATTTTTCTCCAGGCCTTTTTGTTAATGAATGTTTATTTTAAAATCATTCTATTGAAGTGTGGTTATAAATCAATGTCTGAATTTCATTAGTTAATTTTTATGGAATTAAACCTCATTACTTTTGTCAGATTCTAGTTATTTCTCTGACGACTGTGGGGTTTTATTTAATTAAAGAGGGGTACCAATGACTATGCCCAGGTGTTGTAATGAAATATAGAAAGAATAGAGTTGTAAAAGACACCTTGCCTAAATGTAAACAGTTCTCTAAAATACATTGCTGGTTCAATAAGGAGAGTAAAAGATAATAAGATTGCTAAATTGAATATTTTCTTTTAATTTTTGTCATTCTATATTATTTTTTATCATATTTTGTTTTGTTATTTTAGAAAAGTTTGAAACGTCTTTCACCCTGGGTTTTAAAATGTTGGCTTCATTTAAAGCATCATTGTAAAGAGATGTATCCTCTCTATGCAATGCTCGGCAAAAAGGCTATAAAAATACTTATGCTGTTCTTACATCTTCTTATGTTAGATTTGTTGAATAGAAATCTGAAACTGCTATAATCATGTCAAAGAGCGAAACAAAACATGGATTTTGTAAAATCATCCAGATAATTCGATCTATAGCTTTTGGTAAAATAACAATACATTTTAGTCAAACTTATTAATCTAAAATACGAATACATAATACAGACAAACCAAAGAACTATATGGTGTCCTGTTTACCAAGTCCCATTTGGTTTTATCTACAGCTATTATTAGGGTTAAGTCATTGTTTTAAAAGAATTTAAAATCCACCCCGGAACACTGCTCTTTTCCTCAGTGGCTGTATTACTTAAATTCATACATGGATTTGCTCATTTAATAAAAAAAGGGGGGGAAAATCCCATTTGATGCCTTGAAGTTTGAGCTTACAAAGACTTTGAAGTCATTAAAAATACATCAGGCTGTATTCTGATGAAAATGTGACTGTTTTACCCCGTCGGACTAGTTTGCTCTTTGAAACCTTTGTTTCCATGTTCTCCATGCTAGGATAGAGAAGGGGACAAAAACACCTTTTCTCCTGACTACTGCACCTCTTAATCCCAAGATGAGACCAACACCACCTTACTAACTTTTAAACAAACTTAACCTTCCTTTCTAGTTCTGTTAATTCTCTCTCAAGGCAAATCCAAAACGTTTGTTCATTTTTACTCAGACAGAGATCTGAGCCCCAGCTGTGATAAAGCTGAAGGCAACAGGAGCTAATTATGACTCCCATAATTATCACAGCCTAATCCTCTAAATATCATTTTCTAAAACGCGCAGAGTATAAACAGTGGCTAAGAAAACTTTGGACTAATCAACTCATTTCAAATCAATCTGTAGATGTGGCATACCATCCCAGTAGAGGCCTTTAGGGCAACTTGACTTCATTAAGTCATGAAATTGCATCCAACTGGATTGTCTTGTATAAAGAGCAATTATATATATATATATATATATATATATATATATATATATATATATATATATATATATATATATATATATATATATATAGAACTCAAATAGGAGTCCAAGTACTGAATCAGGGTCAAGAAAATGTTATTTCAATTATCAATACCTTTAGATGTTGTAATGGTTGCCATTTTATCACAGACATATTCACAGTGAGTTGATGCGCTGCCAGGCTTTCATGTTTAACCAATCCGGCCCACTGTATTGAAGGTTGCCTATAACCACAGTACTTTTCACTTTTTAAAGAGGTTTAGAATCAAGACAGGCTTGGCTGCTGTATATCTCCATCATGGGACTTAAGGGCAGATTATACTTTTGCAACGGCACACATGAAATTTCGCTTGGGTCTGGATGCAAACCAGTTTTGCTGTTATGCTTTTGCACGGTCTGTCTGGAATTTCTAGGGACGCACAGCAGTTTCCCCCCAAAGCACAAGGGGGAGCCTATTCGGGAACTCTCAAGAACTTTATTAGATGGTCTCAAGAACTTCGGCAGCACCGGCAGGAGTGTTTATCTTCCAAAACAACAAT